TGTGACTAAGCACAAAATATTTGTTAATCAGCAACAATCACCCATCCTTTTATTCTTCATTTTTTCTGGTTCTCCCCAGTGAGGCCCCAGAGATCAAGATAGAAGTAAATGTTTGTATTAAATATGTGGACATTAGTTCCAACAGGACAGTTTCTCACTTTATTTTTTTTTAATCCAAAGAGTCTTCAAAAGTTTTCTGGTTTGGGTTATTATAAACATCATGACACACCGATCGTCAAGGCCAACAACCGAGGAAATTGCCTGACAGTTTTAATGAAGCCAAGTTCATTACTTTTAGCATGATAGTCTTTTGCAGTGTTTGGATCACCTTCCTCCCCACTTACCTGAGCACCAAAGGGAAGTCCATGGTGGCTGTGGAGATCTTTTCCATCTTGGCATCTGGGTCTGGTCTCTTGGCTTGTATCTTTTTCCCCAAATGCTACATTATCCTAATGAGGCCCCATCTGAATTGTAAAGAGAATATAATGAGGCAGAAGAATATCTGATTTATGTGGAGATTGGGCACTGTGATTTTGAGATAGTTTTGTATTTGATCTGATTTCTAAAATAAATCATGAAAATACAAGAAAATGCTGTCCATTAAATAACTGGTAGTATAACATGATGTGTCTAAACACAAACTATCTGTTAATCAACAACAATCACCCATCCTTTTATTCTTCATTCTTTATGGTTCACCCCAGTGAGGCCCCAGTGATCAAGACAGAAGTAAACTATAATATTAAGTATGTGGATATTAGTTCCAAACAGGACTTTATTTATTTTATTTATTTTAATCCAGAGTCTTTAATTTTTTTCTGGGTTCATTATCCATGTTGATAAGCATATCCTCTAAGCATGTTGTGAATAAGATGCTGGGAGGAAGGAAGGAAGGAAGGAAGGAAGGAAGGAAGGAAGGAACGAAGGAAGGAAGGAAGGAAGGAAGGAAGGATACAAATTTCAAGTTGGAGGAAAGCTAAAAGGTAGAACTATGTATAAATGTAACAGAATGTTAGCAAAGAAAATATTTAGATGTTGCCCATTTCAGCAAGAAAAAATAAAAAAATATTTTATTTTGTAGTTTATTTTCTCATATACAGAGTATACCAAAAATCACTCCCCTTATAAATTGTGTCATTTAATTTACATAACAAATTACCTACAGAGCCTGTCTTTGGAACTGCACACACAGAGACAAACACAAAAATAAAGACACACTGTGTATGTGGCTTTCCATATTTCTATTCCATATTTCTATTCTATTTATACACACCCCTTCCTCTGAGTATTTATTTTCCTTACAGAGTTTTAAAACTCATCTGCAGCTTCCCCACATTCCAAAAATGTCATTATTGGAAGTTCCTGTGGTATGCTCAGGACATTTATCAAATGTTATTCCTCCATTAGCTCATCTGCTATAGCAGATTATCTTTATCAAAATAATAAAGGTAGGATGCAAACAAAGTAATAAATAAATTTGAACAGCAGCATTTTGCCAGTGCTCAGGCTCCTGAAGTTGCTGTTTTTTGGGTCAGGGCTCCCTCTGCTGATGAAAAAGTAGCAAATTCAAGGCAAACCAGGAAAAGTGGGGCTGAACCCTTGGAAATTGATGGTCTATTTCTGTCTTCCAATGTAATAATTTGTCTTGTTTTGGACAGAGTTCTAGAATTGGGAAGTTTTAACACAGATGAGAAAAAATGGAGGGGTGTTAGTAGTGATGGTTCTCTTCAAAGACCTGAAAGACTATCATAGAAAGAGTCAAGACTGTTTCTTAATTGTTAAATGGTAAAATTGGTAAAATGAGGACTCAGATTGAGGGGGAAATGCCTACAATGTAAACCACCCAGAGTGTGCTGTAAAGCACTATGGAACGGTATATAAGTCTAAGTGCTGTTGCTATTGCTTTGTTGCTGGCAATGCCTCTGATGCACCTCCCTTGTGTTCCCCTTCTGATACCCTATCTGGTCACATGACAAAGCTCTTCTAGTTTGCCATGCATGAACTGAGATGTTTGTTGGTGGCTCTGGTTAAGCTAGAGGCCTTGGGCATTACATCTGAAAACACCAGAAACTCAAAGACACAAGGGGTTCAGTGGCAGTGGAGACATAAGGATATGTCATCCATTGTTTCTTGTCTTGCTTTCTGGTGCTTTGGAAAATAATTTCAAACAAGTGGCTATCAAGTCTCTTCTTAAAAACCTCCAGCAATGAAGCACTCACAACTTCTGAAGCCAAGCTGTTCCATTGGTTAATTGTTCTCACTGTTAGAACATTCCTCCTTAATCCCAGGTTGCTTCTCTCCTTGAGCAACCTGGGATCCTTGAGCAGGGTCCATAAGATTATTTGGGACACTACACATCCTCTTCATGACCTGTTTTCCTTGTTACCTTCTGGGAGGAGGGGGCTCCGTGGTATCTGAGGCAGAACATCCAGATTCAGTCACAGTTTCATTCCATAAAGCATTAACCTTGTGAACTCTCAAGTTTCCTCCTTCCGTTATAAATTCAAGATGGACAGTGTTTAATATTTATTTGATACTAGCTGTACCCAGCCATGTGTTGCTGTGGCTCAGTCTGGTAAAAGCGTGTGTTGCTTTTACGTCCAACAGATGGTGCTGTTTTTCAAAAAAAGCATGTTTTTATTTTTCAAAAAAGCATGTTTTTACCTGTCACAGGTGTGACATCTATATAATATAGGTATATAGAAACACGTGTGTATTCGAATGCAACATTGTGTCAAAAGTTCAAAGCAATCGGTGAAGAACTTTCGGAGATTTAAGATTTTGAACAAACAAACATTTACATTTTTATTTTTATAGATATATATGTAGGGGTGTGGGTCTATACATATGTTGTACATAGTATGTTTAGGTGTGTGTCATGTATGTGTTCACTTTGAGAGCGGACAACTAAATTTCATTTTTGATGTGTGCCGTTGTGCCCACAGTAAAACATGACAATAAAGGTTATCTTGTCTTGTTTGTCTTGTCTTGTCTTATCCCATCTTATCCAATCTCATCTCATCTCGTCTCGTCTCGTCTCATCTTATCTTATCCTATCATCTTATCTTATCTCATCTTGTCTCGTCTCATCTCGCCTCACCTTGCCTTGCCTTGTCTTTTGTCTCATCTCGTCTCGTCTCATCTTGTCTCGTCTCGTCTCATCTCATCTTATCTTGCCTTTCTTGCCTTATCTTGCCTTTCTTGCCTTATCTTGCCGTGCCTTGCCTTTCCTTGCCTTTCCTTGCCTTATGTTATCTTATGTTATCTTATGTTATCTTATGTTATCTTATCTTATCTTGCCTTGCCTTGCCTTGCTTTGCCTTGCCTTGCCTTGCCTTGCCTATTCTACCCTATCCTATCCCATCCCATCCCATCGCATCCCATTTCATCTCATCTCATCTTATTTTATCTTATTGGTTTCCATCTGTTGCTTCTTGTCTTTGCTTTCTGGTGCTTTGGAAAATAAGTTGGAGCAGCCCCTCAAATACTGGAATACTGCTCTCCCCCCCCACCCCTTAGTCCTTCTTTTCTATAGACTGGCCATATGCAATTCCTGCAATCTTTCTTCATATGTTTTGGTTTCCAGGCCCTTAATCATCTTAGTTACTCTTTGTATTTTTTCCAAAGTCTCAACATCTTTTTTGTAATGTGGTGACCAAAACTGGATGCAGTATTCCAGATGTAATCTTACTGAGGTTTTATAAAGTGGTACTAATACTTCACATGATTTTGATTCTATGCCTCTGTTTATACAACCAAGGATTATATTAGCTTTTTTGGCTGCTGCTGCACACTGCTGACTCATGTTTAACCGATTGTTCATTAGGACTCCAAGGTCCCTCTCACAGTTACTGTTTTTGAGCCAGTTTTCACCTAATCTGTATTTGTATCTTTGGTTTGTTAAATATTCCCAATCCTAGCAATCTGTCCAAAGGAAGACAAATTATTTAATTGGAAGTCAAACGTAGACCATCCATTTCCAATAATTCTGCCCCACTTTTTGTGGTTTGCCATAGCTGGGCAGAATCTAAACCAGGGTTTGTTCTAGTTTTTATGTGAAACAAAATGTGGATGGAGATACCAAAAGTATCTTCAGGAACCTGAACACTGGCAAAAAGCTGCTGTTCAAATTTATTTATTACTTTATTTACAGCCTACCTTTATTATTTTGATAAAAATAATCTGCTATAGCAAATGATCCAGTGATGGGATTCAAATATGTGAATAACCAGTTCTCTGTGTGGATGGCATTTCCAGAAGTCCATTCTGAGCCTGGGCAACAAAAAATTAGCTACCAGTTCTGCTGAACTGGTGCAAACTGACTGAATCCCACACTAATGAGCTAATGGAGGAATAGCAGGTAGCTTTGATAATAGTCATGAGCATATTACAGAAACCATTGAGAATGACATTTTTGGTATAGGGAGAAGCTGCAGATGAGTTTTAAAAGGAAAATAAATTCTCAGAGGAAGGAGGGCATATGAACAGAATGCCAAATATAGAGTTTGTTGCTGTGTTTGTGTATTTGTGCATGCTTGTGTGTGTTTGCAGTACCAAAGTCAGGCCGCATATATAATTTGTTATATAAATTACATGACACAATTTATAAGAGGAGTGACTTTTGGTATACTCTGTATTTGGGAAAATAAAATACAAAATAAAATAATTTTCATTGATAATAACCCAAACCAGAAAACTTTTGAAGACTCTTTGGATTAAAAAAAAATAAAGTGAGAAACTGTCCTGTTGGAACTAATGTCCACATATTTAATACAAACATTTACTTCTATCTTGATCTCTGGGGCCTCACTGGGGAGAACCAGAAAAAATGAAGAATAAAAGGATGGGTGATTGTTGCTGATTAACAAATATTTTGTGCTTAGTCACAAAACATTATTTCCAATTAATGGACAACATTTTCTTGCATTTCATGATTTATTTCAGAAATCAGATCGGATACAAAAATATCCCAATATCACAGTGTCCAATCTCCACATAAATCAGCAATTCTTCTGCTTCATTATATTCTCTTTACAATTCAGATTCGGCCTCAGTAGGATAATGTAGCATTTAGGGAAAAAGATACAAGCCAAGAGACCAGACCCAGAGGCCAAGATGGAGAAGATCTCCACAGCCACCATGGACTTCCCTTTGGTGCTCAGGTAGGTGGGGATGAAGGTGATCCAAACACTACAGAAGACCAGCATGCTAAAAGTAATGAACTTGGCTTCATTAAAACTGTCAGGCAATTTCCTAGCTAGAAATGCCGCGGTGAAACTGACAAGGGCTAGGAGACCCAGGTAAGTGAGGACAGCATAAAAAAATGAAGCTGAGCCTTCCTTACATTCTAAGATGATCTCTCCAAACAAGGAGTGGATGTCTAAGTTGAGAAATGGGGGAGAAATTGCCAGCCAAATGGCACAAAGGACTGTTTGGACCAGGGGACAACCTAACACAATGGAAGTGGTCAGTGGTTTTCCCAAAAGATTCCTTGTCCGGTTCCCTGGCTTGGTAGCCATGAAGGCGAGAACCACCATGACAGTTTTTGCCAAGACAGAAGAAACTGCAAGGGAAAAGAGAATGGCAAAGGCAGATTGTTGGAAGAGGCAGGTGAGCTTCCCAGGTTGACCAATGAAGAGGAAGGAGCAGAGGAAGCAGAGCAGGAGGGAAGCCAGGAGGATGTAGGTGAGATCTCGGTTGTTGGCCTTGACGATCGGTGTGTCATGATGTTTATAGAAAATCACCACGATAGNACAGAAGAAACTGCAAGGGAAAAGAGAATGGCAAAGGCAGATTGTTGGAAGAGGCAGGTGAGCTTCCCAGGTTGACCAATGAAGAGGAAGGAGCAGAGGAAGCAGAGCAGGAGGGAAGCCAGGAGGATGTAGGTGAGATCTCGGTTGTTGGCCTTGACGATCGGTGTGTCATGATGTTTATAGAAAATCACCACGATAGTAGTTGTGATCAGGGAAAAGAAAAGAGCTAAAGAAGCTAAAGCATATCCCAGGGGGTCTTGATAGGCAAGGAAGTGGAGCTTCTTGGCAATGCAGTTGATCATATCCTTGTTAGTGTATTGATCTTCTGGACAAGAATCACATTTAGCTGCATCTGGAATTGAGAGTATTTATGTAATCATGTGCGATGAACATTATCTCATCTTCAGATGATGACATGACTGTCCCTTTGTGCTATAGTCAACACCCAAAGAAATGATGGAGTGATCCACCTGATATATCTCTAACAGCCAGAAATCTTGCTTGTGTGTGTGTGTGTGTGTGTGTGTGTGTGTTTGCATACATTATCTTTTCATGTGTGCTGAGAATGTCAAAAATGCAACAGAGGAAGACATAAAAAGCTGCACTGAATATCATGAGAGGGAATGGTCTCTTTTCCTGACCCAAATTGATTTATAGGGAAACTGGTCACAGGGAGAAGGATATACAATTGTGCACCAAGTATTCTGAAAAGGGAAAGAAGGGATTTACAGGGGAAATTGTACCCTGTACTTTGAATCCTATCAATTCTATGAACAATGATAACTAAAATCAACATTTTCATTCACGGAATGGTTCACTGATCCTGGAAGATCTATATTTGAAGTATGCTCTACCTGTCTGATTAGAAATGGTCCCTTCTGGACAAGGGCCACATTGATAGCAGCAAACCTGCTTGTCCTCTGGGACACTTCTCCTCTCTCCTGCACGGCACCTCTTCATGCCACACCTGGCAAAGGGTTCCTTCTAAGAGAGAAAAAAGAAATACTGTAGATAGCTCAAGTGATTCTTTTATCCATTTCCACATTTGATGACCATCCTCAGACATGGTTCACCAGGTCTCCCAAAATACTGGAAGAGCTCCTGGGGAATTCAGTTCAGTGGCACTACATTAATTCCTGTGGATGATGGAGGTTGGAGTACAGACCTTGACTTGTGACATTGAGCTATGGCTTTTATGAAATAATGAAACATGAGTATTCAAGTGAATGGTGTGAAGAAAACATGTTCTTGAAGGAGTCGGAATGTGTTAGCAAAATAGAAACATAAAAGGAACATGTGCTAACTGAAGCAACCTTGAAGAACTTGGTTCTCAGTATGCTTTATCAATGTCTCACTTGCATGTAACTGATATATTTTTTTAAATTAAGGTAATATTTTTACTGAGCATAGGAACAGTAGAATAGTGGGAAATAAGTTGTGCTTTGCAAATTATGAATATCTATGCTTACATCTTCTATTACCTGTCCATAGGCATGACTGCATCATTTACTCCTTCTGTTATTGTTACTCCTCAGGTTTCTAAATTTCTTTTAAGAGCTGTAGAGGAGAACGTTGTAATTTCCTTTAGCCAAGGCTTCTGGTGTTTAATTGTTTGTGATTATATTTTTCTTGTGTTTTCTTTTGTTGCACTTACATTTTGGTGTTTGACCGCAAAATAAATATTATTATTATTATTATTATTATTATTATTATTATTATTATTATTATTATTATTATTATTATTATTATTATTATTATTATTATTATTATTATTATGGATCATCGCACAGTCAGCCAGATGTTCAGACTGGATTTGGCATTTTGTCTACCTATCGAGTCCTTACCCAGGACCTGGGATAGGCAGATGTGGATGTTTGAT